ACGCCACGGGGTCCGGGACTCAAACCGCGGTCGACTGCGTGGGAGTCCAGCGACATAGCCATTACGCTAACTGCTGGTCCCCTGGGGGTGATTTCTCACTTTCTGTCTCTGTCTCTCCTTTCCTTTCTGGTGAGCACACAAGCCCTCATAGCAAAAACTTCTCCAAAAAAAAAGAAAGAAAGAAAGAAAAGAAAAGAAAAAGAAAAACACACTGGGTACATGTGCATACATACCCAGGATAGAGAAATGGAAAAGGGATTGTGGTGTCAACATGCCCCACTGGGGAGTGCTTTCTCTCTCTCTGTTTGTCTCTCTCTGGTGAGTGCATATACCCTCTGGCAATTAAAAAATAAATAAAAGACATAGAGGACCTTGAACCTCAGCTACCAAGAGAATGGAGGTGCTGCCACTGGCGAGGGGAAAATATAGAGAGAAACGTAGGCCTCACAGGAAGACTGATGAGCTGGATTCACAGAAGTAATGAGACAGCCAATAATGTCCTCTACGCAGCACACAGTAGGCCTGTCCACCCAGGAATGACAGATCAAGCTGTGACATAGGCTGCCAGCTAAGAACAAGTTAACGGGTACAGGGTCAGAAGGAAAGAATGCTAGGATAAAGCTGCTACACTCCTGCCATTACCTGCAGAGTCGCAGACTTTCAGAGCAATCTCAATCCTGGCGTAGCGCTCTCTCTTCGGGTACTGTCTCTCACCAGTGCTGCATAAGCCAGCGGTTCTCAGCATCTTTTTATTCCAGCCAATGTCTATTTTCTCCGGCAGCTGAGGATGGAAAGCAAATGAAAGGAAACAGATTAGTTCTAAGCACATGAAAAAATATTAACTCAGGAGTTTTTCTCCCTCTGATAAAAAGTAAAAGGAACTTTCTCCCTCTGGTTCTTGGCTCAGAGCAAGTTTGAGAAGAAATTTATTCAAAGGACATACAAACGTAAATATTCTGGGGAAAATAAAAGCCAAGAAGTCTATGTAAAGCCAATTAATAGGCAATTAGGACACAATGGGGACTGCTGACACCAGAATGCAGGATGTGTGTACAGACAAGTCTGGGGCAGCCAAGGAGGTGGGTGAGCTGGAAACCTGTGCGTAAGAATGATGACGCAAAGGGAATAGCAGTTGGCATAATGGCTATGTTGCTAGATTCCCATGTCGTTGACCACAGTTCGAGTCCCAGAGCTGGTGGCTTAAACTCACACCAGGCACATGTGCGTGCGTGCCCAAGATCCCGAGAGGAGAATGGAGGAGAAGGGATTGCGGCATGGCCATTCCCCCTGGGGGGTGATTTCTCGCTTTCTGTCTCTTTCCGGCAACCGCACGCACCCTATAGCAAAAACCTCTCCCCCCCAAAAAAATAAAGAAAGAATGGTGTGCAGAACCAGCAGGTGGTATAATGGTTATGCTGGTGGACTCCCACATAGCCAGCTATGATTCGAATCCCAGACCCAGTGACTTGAAAATCACACCAGGTGTGAGTCCGCGCATGCCCAAATTCCAGAGAGGAGAAGTAGATAAAGAATCGCTGCATAGCCACACACCCCCTGGGGGGGGGTGATTTCCCACTTTCTGTCTCTGTCTCTCTCTCTAGCGAGCGCATGCGCCCTATAGAAAAATCTCTTAAAAAAAAAAAAAGAAGAAGAAAAAATGGTGGCAAGGCAGAATTGAAAACGCAACTCAGAACACTTCAGGTTCCGCTCATCTGATGGAACATCACTGTCATCAGGAAGGGCACTGAAGGCTGGGGAGGTTTTAGGAAGATATGAGAACTTCCTCCAGAAAGTCTGGTTACTAGAGACAAAAAAAGTCTGAAGAACCTAACAACAAACGGGTCTCTCTACCTCCAAATTCTCCCCAATCCAGTTCATACTCCCAGGCTATTGTCAGGTGAATTTCTGTTGGCAGCCACTTCGTATCACATCCACATCCCTGTCCAGTGCTGCCTACTGACTTCAATTTTACCTCCACCAACCTGATTCCCCAGGCCCTCCATTATCTGACCATAAACTATCAAAAAAAATTAATAAGAGTTTACTACGTCCTAGGACCTGTTCTAGGCATTTTAAGTCTACTAACTTATATAAACCTAACAATAATAATTCTGAGGTATAAGTACAGTAGTAGTATCTCATTATCCAGTTTCCCCTTCCATGGTTTTGGTTATCCATGATCAACCACAGTCCAAACATATTAAAGGGAAAATTCCAGAAACAATTCACAAGTGCACATGGTTCTGAGTAGCATGATAAAACGCGGTGCTGTCTTGCTGGGAATGTGACCCACGCCTTTGTGCAGCATATCCATGCTGTCTACACTACCTGCCTATTAGTAGGGTATTACCAGATCGACTGTCACAGAATTGTAGTGCTTGTGTTCAAATAACCCTTATCTTGCTTAATAATGGCCCCAAAGTGTAAGAACAGTGCAAGAGTAGTGATGCTGGCAATCTGTACATGCCAGCATACTTCTTTAAGTGAAAATGTGCAAGTTCTCAACTTACTAAGAAGGAAAAAAAAGCAAATGCTGAGATTGCTAAAATCTACAGTAGAAATACATCTTCTACCTGTGGAACGATAAAGGAAAAAGAAATTCAGAGCCAGTCCATGGTATAGTGGTTAAGGCTGCTGAATCCCATAGAGCCCACAGCATGGTTCGAGTCCTGGACCCAGCATCTTGAAAAAACATGCTGGGCATACCCAAAATCCCAAAAGGAGAGAGATGGAGGAAAGGGGACTGCAGTGTGAACATCCCCCATGGGGGGTTGCTTCTTCACTCTCCTTTTCTGTCTCTCAAGTGAACGAGTACACATGCTCTCTAGCAAATTTTTAAACACAGTAAAAGAAATCCATGCTAATTTTGCTGCTGCACCTCAAACTGTGAAAGTTACTACCACAGTATTTTGTTAAGGTGGAAAAGACACTAACTTTGTGGGGAAGACACGATCAGAAAACATGTTCTAACCAACAGCAATGTGATGCACCAGGTAGCACTGAGCCTATACCAAGACTTCAGCAAGGGAACCCCTGAAACAAGTGTTTTACTTTACTAAAAACTAGCATTCTATTTTATTGTCATTGTTAATTAATATACCTATTAATAAATTCTAAATTATACTTTACTATAGAAATTGCATGTATAGGAAAGACAATGTATACAGAATTCAGTACTAGGGTTTCAGGCTCTACTTGGGGGTCTTTGAATGTATCCCCCCTCCATGGGTAAAGGGGACTAATGAACTGTAACTGTCCCTACTTTACAGATGAGAAAACTGAGATAAACTGAGGGTTTGTCTATAAGCAACTTGCCCAAGGCCACAAAGCGCTTTCTTATTATCCTTCAACATAAACCCTCTCTTCTAGATAGTCAGGCCTCAACGTGCGCCCTCTCCCCTGTTACCATGTTCTTGACACCCACCACCCTTCAAGTATCAGAACTAGTCTCACTTCCACTTCCTCCAGGCAATCCCATTTCCTGACTGCTTGGGCTCTCAGCGATCTCTCCCTTGGTTGATCTCCTATGGTAACAGTCTGTCCCATACATTTTAATCCATAAACATTCCCTTTCACATATGCATGTCTCACCGCTCCACCTAAATTGACACTTCTCAAGAGCAGGAAGTGTGCATGTTAGCATACGCCATGATACCCAAGAGTGCTGGCATATAGCGGGTACTCGATAAATGCTTATTCATTGATTCTACCTTTTTATCAAAGACAGAACTGTTGAACAGGTTGTACAACTTCTGAACCAATTCATCCTTCTTCTGCTTGAAATTCTTTCCAGAGTATTGTTTTAAGTTTTCGATATCCATCAAGAAACATCCAGGTATTTTGCACCGAGGTTTCCTACAAAGGAAGATTCAACTGAGTTTTATATAGCTAAAGAAATATTAGAAAGTCACTGATAAAGGTAATGACAAGAGAAAATTTGAAAACTTGCTACTCCCTCATCCCTCCAGTTCCTCAGATGAGGTAATTTCCCAAGCTTCCATTTATAACCTTAACTCTAAACTCTTTACACATTCAGGGTTTCAGCCTCAACAGGACCGATCCCCACATCTGTATCTGCAGTCTCAAGCTCTCCTGAGATCTAGTTCTGAATTTACAATTGCCCAATGCAAATTTCCAACTGAGTAACACGAGCATATCTCCGACTCAACGTGTTCAATGATCAAACTTCTGTTATAACTGGCTGAAAACCACAGAAGTATTTTTAAATTAATTTTATCCTTTACCCAATGTTTGACTGGGTACAGAAACAGACTGGGGGAACCAGCAGTTAGCATAACGGCTATGTCGCTGGACTCCCACGTAGTCGACCGCGGTTCGCGTCCCGGACCCGGTGGCTTAAAACTCATGCCGGGCGCGTGTGCGTGCGTGCCCAAGATCCCGAGAGGAGAATGGAGGAGAAGGGATTGCGGCGTGACCATCCCCCCTGGGGGGGTGATTTCTCGCTTTCTGTCTCTATGTCTCTCTCTGTCTGTCTGGCGAGCACACGCGCCCTGTAGCGAAAACCTCTCCAAAAAAAAAAGGAAACAGACTGGTGGGGGACCAGCAGTTAGCGTAATGGCTATGTCGCCGGACTCCCATGTAGTCAACCGTAGTTCAAGTCCCAGACTCGGTGACTTAAACTCATGCCGGGCACGTGTGCGTGCGTGCCCAAGATCCAAAGAGGAGAATGGAGGAGAAGGGACTGCGGCGTGGGGGGGGGGTGATTTCTCATTTTCTGTCTCTCTGTCTGTCTGGTGAGCACACGCGCCCTATAGCAAAAACCTCTTAAAAAAAAAAACAGACTAGTTACCTCCTTCACATGATCTCTTCCACCAGCGCCTCCTTTCCAACCCGTGTCACCACCCCAGTTCAAGTTATCTTCCACTTTATGGCATTTCTGTGTTCCTTACCTCCAAAGGCTCTTTTTCTTCTGACCCAACCACACACATCTCACATCTTCATTTTCCTAGGCCATGTTCCAACTAATGACCCACTTTCATTAACTGCATGACCTGGCATTCAAGGCCTAGGTCAACCTGGTCTCAACCTCTATTTCCATCTAGTATGTTTGCTCTGGCCAAAGTGGACAACTTAAATGTTTCCTAGTCACGAACTGTGATGTTCCATATTCATGCCTTGGCACAACCTATTTTCCCACAGCCTAGAATGACTGCACCCCTACCTTTGCTAAGAAATCATCTATATGATGCTTTATCATTTGTAAAGAACTTCCTTTTGCATTATCATATTTAACCCTCACAATCATCCTTAAAAGAAACTATTACTATTTTTACAATCTGTACTTTACAGACAAGGAAACTGAGGCTCAGAAGTTATGTGATTTGCCCCCAAATCACAGAGACAATGAAAACTCTCACACTAATCTCAGATCTTTCCATTAAACGACAATTGTTGTCCCATCTTATAAAGCCTAATTCAAAGGCACATTAATAATAGTGCTGAGCACACTTGTAGTAACAATTTATTTAAACTGAAATACTTTGATCTTGCCTAGAATCTCCACAAGTCCCTGGTAAAAGATAAAGGAGGAGCATACACAGTGAGTTTCTGACTTAACAGAATTCCTGGGATTGAGATCCCACCAGAACACTCATTAACCCTTAAGTCACAAAATAAACCCTTTGTATAGGGAGGGGTAAAGTACCAGTCAAGGTAAAGGAGGCTAATTCAAGGGTCTTCATCCCAAAACCTAATACAGATGACTTAAACATTTCTGCCTCTGATTACTTAGCTTTGAAAGTAAATTTGGGGGCCAGCAGGTGGTGTGGTGGTTAAGGGCACTGGATTCCCACATGGCCGACCAGGGTTTGAGTCCTGGACCTGGTGGCTTGCTTTCTGACTTTCTTTCTCTCTCTCTTCCTGTCCATCTCTGGTCAAATTTTTTTTTAAAAAAAGGAAATAAACGAAGTTAAGTAAAATAATTCTTTAAAAGAAAAAAGAAAGTAAACTTGTATCAGAAAAAGTAGGAGATAAAAACCGGAACCATCAGCAGGCTTCAGCAGAGACCATGACACCTATGTTTGTGCTCATGGAAAGCTGCCCTTGTGGCTTAGCATACCCTCACCTCAAGGCCGGGTCTGCCACCGTCCTGCAGGCGGAGCACCTCAACATCATAGAGACCAACAAGGCCCCAAACCGGGTATGTCACACACCATGACCAGCAAGCAGCCCACACGTGAACAACACTAAGCACAACAGGAAGCCCCCAGACTGACACAGGAAATACCAAGGCAACAGTGAAGAGTCCAAACAGGCTAGCCTCCCTTGGATGATGCAGACTGACAATGACAGCAAGGGCAGCGTCTCCCTACTTTGGTCACACCCTCTAACAAAGCAACCTGGGAAATACCCAAGACACAAGTCCCTACAGGCAAACAACTGTATGTATCTAGAATACGAAGAAAGTTCGCCAGGCAGGATCCATCCAACAGAGCATTTGGTGAGGCACTGCCAGCTGCCTTAGCCAGTGAAGAGCATGGAAGCACAGAGCCTTTCCACTGGGGTCCACGTTATTCTGTTGCCCTAATCCCTTTTTTCCCTCCTTTAAGATGCATTTATTGTCTCAACATACAAGTTAAAAAAAATAACATACAGTCTTTCAAATAAGTTTTTTTCCTTGTAAGATAATTCAGATATAAGTATGCATTACTACTAAATGCAAGCAAAAACAAAGAAATGGCTTACGATATCATATTTTTAAGAGGGAAAGTGAGATGTTTCTAGAATCTGAATGAGAAAATACATTATTTTTTTTTTTTGCTTTTAAGTATTAACATGGCTTTGGTACCAATTATATATATCTTAGTAAAAATAAAGGAGCAACAAGCAATCCATTTCATCTTAACATTTAAGCTTTAAAAATTTTTTAAATTAAGTTAGAAAAAACACAGTAGTAACTGGGTTCGTCTAAAGCACTAGAAAAATCTGGAAGACAGTCTTGACCACCTTCTCTTCAATTCCAACAGATCAGAACAGTCTGCCCTCTCACCATTTCCCCTACCGTTTGCCATGGTTTAGTGCAAAATGGTCCTCGCAAGGCTATATCCAGCCTGGAAAAAGTTTGTTTGGCTACACATCATTCTTTGATCTGAGTTGAAAAAGAAAACCTTAAGAGGCCAGAGGCGATGCCGTGGGGGCAAACGGGCTCCACTTTGCCCAGGTAACTGCATCGATCTTGATGGAACACCCATACCCAGCTGCCTCTCCCTGCTTATGCCCTCTCACTTGGGGCCAGAAACCTTGCCCTTCCCTCACCCACCAGACTCCTTCATGCCCTCGAAGACCCCCCACCAGTGCCCGATAGACTGCTTTACAAGTTAACTGTGCAAGCAATCTCTGTTTAATTGGACGTGAGCAGTACGTACTCGGTCTCGCATTTCTCATCTTTCGCAGGGCTGACTTTTTTCTTCGAAGGCCCACGCTTCTTTTGTTCACCAACAGCTGAAAAGAAAATAGTTTATTTGTACCTTGAAAACTGGTACCATGAAGCAACTGAGAGAAAGGTAAATCCAGGAGGAGTCCCTACAGCCAAGTCCACAGCAACATCTTCAAAACAAAACTGACTCACTGAAGCCCTGCACGTGTTAGTCATTCTGGATGACTTTACCCACACTGAGTCTCAGAGCTGCCAGTTCAGTGAGCTGAGTAGAAGCCTGCCATCAGTATTGAGGACTAACATGAGGGTCCACGGGTGTGGCATTAGAGGCTAGGCTATGTGGGCAGCTGAGGTGTGCACCGTCTAAGGGATGGGATGGTGTATCACATGCACTTGCTCTGAGTGGGTCATCCTAGGCAGCACCTTCAAGTGCTGACTTGCAGACTCTGCAAGTCAAATCTTTCCCCTGCATCTAAGACCCAGCTTGCCCGATGCTCACCAGGGATGTATGCATCAGTAGATAGTGTTGCTTGCTCCTTTTAAAACTTATTAAACATCTATTATGTGGTGCCAAGTACCAGAATAGACCCTGGGAGAGACTACAAGATGAACAAGAGGCCTGTCTGCAGTGACACGGTGATAGCACAACACTCTGCAAAGCTGAAAACCATATAAAAAGATCAGGGTTTACTTTCCGGGTCAACCTGTACATGCCAGGCACACACACACATGCCGTGATCCTGGCTGGCTGTGAAGGCTGGGAGGGATCATGATGTAAGGCCCTGGTGAAAGTGCTTGTTTTTGTGCGTATGTGTCTCTCGCTCATTAAATAAACTTTTTTTTTTTAAAAGAGCCTCCTATGCAGAGGCTCTCACTCCGCTATGGAAACATTCATAAACATATTATAACAGTGTGATTAGTATTGTAGTAGAAGGGCTCTAGAACTACGGGAACTCAGGAGCCCGAGGAGCAACTCTGACTATGGCTTTACAGAAGTGACAACGGGGCTGCCTCCAAAGAAAAACGATATTTTCAGGAGAAAAGATACAAGGAGAAAGCATTTCAGGGGATGGACAGTGAATACTAAGATATGGGAGTATGAGGAAGAAGTGAGCATTCCTCCCTCATTCCCAGAAAGCTCCTTTCCCCTGGGATGTCTGCCTCCCTTGGCCACTAGCAGCTGCTAAAACAGCACAGGGGTGGCAAGCAGGAACAGGTAAACCCAACGAGACAGCCATGTCCAGCAAAGAAAGGCAGCAGGCAGAGGTGGTGGGCTAACATATTCAGTGGGGCAGGTATACTTGGCATGACTGGCTTACCAGGCTCCACACATATATTTTTGCTTTTCTGCTTCCTCTTCCTCGGTTGTTCCACCACAGGTGCAGGCTCTTCGTTAGTTGGCAGGTTTTTACCTGTTATCTCCGAGTTAGCCTCACGATCGTTTGGTTTTGGGCTGGGACTTTTGCCAAGACCCTGCTCAGCAACATCGCAAGTTGGCTGGGAGACAGCTAACATATTCGGTGCTTTCGGCGCTTTTCCCTTAGTGAAATTTTGGCCCTCATCACAGGAATCCTCTTCAATCAGTATAGGACCTTCCAAATTAATGTTGTCATCCTCATCATCACTAATAAGTATTGGAGGCTCCAGGATGACAGGCTGCTTGCCATTTTCAGTTATCTTATTCACAACATTATCTGAAATTCAACACAATCACATATAAATATACTCCCTCCACCCTCATAAGACTAAACTTCAACTGAGTGTTGAGCGCAAATTAAACAAGCTGAGAGTCATGACTCTAAATCACAATTATTTTTTATCATTTCCCCTCTATTTAGTTTACTGAGAGCAGTGACAGATAAAATGGCACTCAAAGACCAGTGGCAATTTTCAAATTACATCCTCTTAAGTAGCATGATGTCATTGCTTAGAGGTTCCCAAACACAGGACTGCAGGCTTCTATGTTTTCACTGGTCCACAGCAAGATAAGAGAAATTAGAATAAAGTAAAAGGGGTTTTTCTCC